GGCGGCTGGACCTGCGGGACTGCCCGCGGGTCGGCGACGCCGCGCTGCTGCCGGCGGGCGGCGCGGCGCCCGAGGCGGCGCCCGCGGGGCGGCCGCCGCGGGCGCGGGAGGAGGGACCGGAGGGTGTCGGCAGTGGGGCTGTCTTGGCGGCGGCGGCGGTGGCGGCGGCAAGGGCATGCGAGGGCGATGAGGCGCTGGACTTTGGGGGGCTGAGGTTGCTGGGCCCTGTACATCAAAATCTGGAGCACTTGGACCTTAGGGGGACGTCCGTCCAGGTGCGCGAGCGAGCTTGCGCAGGCCCTCGCGCGCGGCGCCCGTCCCGCCGGCCGGCGACCTGGCTGCTGCACGGCCCCGCTGCCGTCAGAGGCAGGCGGCACGAGCCTCCCCGTCCTCGCCGCTCCCGGCCACGTCCGCGCGGCTCCGGCGCGCCGCAGCCGCGCCGGGCGTTTGTGGTCGCCTGCGGCATTCACTCGGCACCGGCGCGCCCAACCCCTCCCCCTCCTCCTGCCCGCCATGCACCCATGCGGCCCCGCCGCGCCATCCCTCAGGACGGCGGAGTCGCCCTGCTGGCCACGCGCTTCCCCCGCCTGACCAGCGTGAGCTTGAGCGGCGGCGGCGGCGGCGGCGGGCCTCGCTGGCCGCGGCAGCCGGCGGGCGGCCGGCGCGCCTCGCAAGAGCTGCTCGCAGCACGCGCCGCAGGCGTCGGGCCGGCCGGCGCCGACGGACGCAGCGGCGCGCGCGTCGGCGACGACGATGACGGCCTGGGGCCGGGTGTGTGCGGGGGTGGAGGGGTGACGTGGCTGGGGGTGGCTGTGACGCTCGCCCTGAGGGGGGAGATGCTGTGCGCGCAGCAAGACGGCCGGCTGCCAGGAGCACCCCCGCACGAGGCTTTCCCCATGGCTGACCCGCCGGCCCCGAGCGCGGCGCCGCCTGGCGGCGCCGGCGCCGGCTGCGGAGTAAGCGACTCGGACAGCAGCGACGACGGCGAGGCGGATGAGATGGGGTTTGGGGTTGAGAGGCGGTGCGGCCCCGGCTGGGGCGGCGCTTCTTGTGGAGCCGTGGCCCCCTTGTCAGCGCTTGTGCTGCAGGGGATCAGCTTGCCAGGGTCTGAGGTGGACTTCAAGGACGGGCAGGGGCCAGTGGAAGCGGGAGAGACGATGCGGCGGGCGTGGGCGCGGCTGTGGGGGAGCCGTGGCGGCGACGAGCGGCTTTGGGCGCCGCCGCTGGGAGCGGAGGCGGCGGCGCAAGCGGTGGCGGCGGAGGCGACGTGGAGGGAAAGGCTTGGTCGATTGGAAGATGGGCTGAGCCTCGATGGCGCCCCGACAGGAGCAGCTGCCGCGCAGCTGTTGATGCTCGCAGATCTTCCGATCGATCCAATTGCCCTTACGGCCCCGGCGGCCCGCGCGGGCCAAACCCTCAGCGCGGCCGGAGGCGGCGCCGCTTCTCTGCTCCTTGATGTGCTGGCGGCTCCGCTGCCGGCAGCTGCGGTTGCCCTGGCGGCGCGGGGGGCGTGGGACGGCGGCTGCGGCCTGGCGGGGCTGGCGGGCGCTTTAGACCGGCAGGCTCCGGAGGCGGCGCTCGCTCTGCTTGGCCCAGCCGTGGCCGCCCTGACGTGCCTGGAGGTTTCGGCCGGCCCTCCTGCCGGCGCCGGCGGCGGCGGGAGCGGCAGCGTCATGGCGGCGCCAGTTACTGACCTCACCCTTGACTTTCTAGGCCGCTGCTGCCCGCAGCTGCGCTGCCTGCGGCTGCCCAGCCCAGTCGGCGGCGGCGGCAGTAGATGCGGCACTGTCAGCATGACTGACGAAGGGGTGGCGGCGCTGGCTGGGTGCAGGGAGCTTGTTGAGCTGGACTTGTCGGGGGCGGGCGCGTATAGGACAGGCGGGCGCGCGGCCATGTCCGGGTT